ATGAAGAGATTGCTAAATCTAAAAGCTTAAAAATTTATACAAGTAATGATAGTTCGTTGAATAATCTTGATTTTAACTCTTTTCTTTAAAATGTTAAAGGTAAATAAATTTTATTATTAATTAATTGGAAATTATTATCCATTAATTATTACTAACGTTAATTAATACATTAGATTTTAGTAACAATACTAGACTAATTTGATCTCCACTATAAATTTATTATCTTTTTTTTATTTATCTTTTTATTTTACCCTTATTTATTTACAACTACAATAATATTACTTCATCAACACCCACTAGTTAACCAACGCTAGTCCAAACTTTTGCTTACTCACTAAAGCAAATTACATTACTAATCATTGTTAGCACTCACTAGTTAACCAACATTAGTCCTAACCTTGCTTACTTGCTCATTAAAGCAAATAAACATGGCTTTTCACAAATGCTCCATAATTGTTACCTTTTACCAAGGCACCAACTACACTTGCTACTTTTATCAAAGTGTTTTAAATAAAGACAATGTTTTTTATTTATGTTTTTATTTTTAAAAGTTTATTAAATGATTTTTATTTTATTAAATGTTAATTATCTATTTTTTCTCTGAGAGGACCAGAAGTTATCCTTAATGAAATTTTCATTGATCACTACAATAAGGATGAAGATAAAGATGGGTCTATTATTGCAAAGTAATTTGATCAATCTTCGTGATTACAATTTGATAATAATTATAAAAGCTTTGACATAAAATTTTCATAATAATTATACACTAAAATTAGCTGACCCTGGAACATAAAGTACCGAATCCCTAATCATGTGTCACGTTATTAATATAAGAGATGTCCGAGTTTAGTAATAAATGAGTGTGTGGGAATTGAACTTTTGTATTCAGCAAAAGAAAGGCTTAGCTCCTTGGGAACAACTAATGAAACAAAGGAGATTTGTGAGCCTTTATATTTTATTATCCTTTAAAGCAATTCACTTGACTTAATGGCAGTGAATTTGACATAATAATTTTACAATTACAATTATGACAACATTTCGTCAAATAACATTATCAAATTAGCACCAGATGCGAAGCATCTTAGCATACTATCATGCATTTATGATCAATGATGCAATCTTTAATAATAACAAAACTATTTAGTGGCCAGATGGTGCATTGATCGAGTATTGTTTTTAAATCTATTCCAAGAAATAACTGAATTGGATGAATTTTGTTGTTACACGTCATTATTATTAGTAGAAGTTACTGAACTGGATAAATGCTTTGTTTTTGTTGCATGTCATTAGTAGAAGCTACTCTTTGAACTGGACGAGGCTGTTGTACATTATTAGTAAAAGCTATTTTATGATATTCTCGTTTTCTTGTTTTTATTTTTTTATTTTTTATTTTTTTTAAAAATCGTTTCCAAATTTGGAAGTGGAAACAAGGAGAAACAACAAATTTGTTGTTTCTCTGTTCCTTCTGATCAGCCAATAAAATTTAATTTTGATCGTGTAACAAGGAAAACACACCTCATGTTGATAACCAATGTAATAATGTATCAGAAATGTTTTACCAACTAAAACAGCTTATGCCAAATGATATAGAATGAATTGATAAAAATAGAAATAAATTTCAACACTATTGGTCGCATCAAGCAAGAAAATTACACCTCAATCCCCAATTTAATGCTAACCTGCTTGGTCTTTGATGAGGAAGGTGTTATTATTTGTAGTTGACTATAAAATGAAATTTTACCAAAAGAGCAAAAGAGCAAAAGAGTTAAAATTTGATTTTTATGGGAAATATGAATGACTCTATACTCAATGTTAGTTTACACCAAACTTGTCAATGATTTAGAAATTCATGCCTTTGATCAATGGTCCTCAGACACAGCTCTCAAGATGCATGGTTCACTGCTTCGTGTTTTGAAGTTGTCTTGAAAAAAAACCAAAGTGTATAAGAACTCTATCTGATAATGATGTACATCATTATTGTTCTGAATTGATGGGAATAATTGCAAAATGGAATATGTGGTATGATATAGATGTTCAGAGCTGGACCTTTTTAGAAGCAGGAGAGGCTAAAACAACAATAGATTCACACCATGCTCAGGTTAATAATAATAATTATAAATGATGATGATAAATGATAACAAAAATCCTTACATTTTTTTTATCTTCCATATATTTCCCAAGCAATTAAACGATATGCTAGGCTAATAATATCTGAGGGTAAAAATATAGTAGAAGCTATTAAAGATATTAAAGGAACATCAGTGGCAAACATTAATACTGATAGAAGTTATAAAGAAAGGAAAAAACCTATGATTTCTGGAATTTCAAACTGGTTTGAATTTCAATGGCCGGTTGAAGCAGAGTTGGCTGGTTTTGTATGTGCTAGATCTCTTCCAAATTTTGGAGAATGGAATGAATGGTGGTGAAAAATATAGGCCAAATCCCTCAATTTCCGCACATACCAAACCTGAATGTCAATGGATAACTCTAACACCATCAACAGGTAACATTATCTATGAATCCTATAAATAGTTTTGATATTTTTTATAATTAAAAATAAGAATCAGCATTATTAACTGATGCAAGAGGTAGTAGAAATCAGTAACATCACAAAATCTGATAACAAAGGATTAAAAATTATCACTTACACAATCTGATGGTAAAGAGATCAGGTAATAGAAAGCTTGATGGTTGTTCACGTCACTAATAATTATAACTTCCTTAATTAGGAAAGACAATAGCAGCTTTTGCAGTAAAAAATTCGTAATTTTGAACTTTCTTCTGCTGAAATTTTTTTTCCAACTTGGGTGGCCTAAAAGAAAACGAATGCAGGGGAAAAGGTGGAAAACATATGTCTGACAAATACTCCTACAAAAAGAAATTCCGGCAAGAATAAATAGAATACTCATATAATTCAAGGAGAAGAAATTTCTCTTCTCATTGGAAAGTTACCTGCAAATATTCTATGAAAAATTGGAACAAAGGATCTCCGCAAGAACTTGAAATCCATCTCGCAAATAATTGTCCATCTATACCACCAGAAGCTCGCGAGATTTTTTTAGATATAGTTATCAATAAAGTTAGAAATTATAAATCATCAAAAAAAAAAAAAAAACTTTGACACAAGAAAAATCAAACACAAATCACCGATTTTCATGAAAGTTTAAGCAGAAACAAGTTATTAAGTTTCGACTTTTGTTTCTCCAAAATAGTTTCGTTGCTAATACTAAACTATATTTACTATATACTTATTGTTTATGTAATGATATATATTTATTACAGCACTAACAGCCAATAAGAGAGCTTCCTTTATCACAGAACTGTGTGTATTATATTATTATTATTATGTATTATTTTCTGATTTTAGCGATTTGGCGATACTAATTTCGCCCACAGCATTAGTATCATGAAAATAATCAATTCATTATTGAGAATAAATAATCTTTTCGTTGACAATTGTCTTTTGAAAGTAGTGGAGGAAACAGTATTGTATGTATTTTATTTATCATAAGTGACAAAATGTTATCGTCACTTTCATTATTCAAATCACGTGACTAGACTCTATTCCATAAAAAATTTTCAAATGACGTGTTTGTTTTAGTGTAAAAATATACTTTTTAAACTATCAAGAATAATAATCTCAAAAATAGTCATATACTAGCAAAGAAAAACCATATAGATCATCTCATTTACTGACACACCAAAGCCTTTTGTTTCATGTAACGAACTAGTTTTCGTCGGTCACTCTTCATATTTGAAGTTATTTTTTCATAGAATTTTAATATTTTGAAATCTCTTCACTATTTATTTAGACAAATTATTATTAACAAAAAAAATCATCTATTAATACCCCTGTCTGTATACCAAATGATTGTATACTTGGCTTGCATAATTGTTATTAAATAATAAAGGAAACACCAATTTAATATGTAACATTGATTAATAATATGATGCAATTGAACTACTTGCAAATAACAGGATAATCTAATCGGTGATAACAACTACGCCGATATCTGAGAAATCGGCAAATTTTTTGTTAGATTTCTTGGGGATAAAAGTGACTGATGATGAACAGGAAGGTTCTTTAATTGTTGGTTTTAAATATTGTTATACATATCTCTTTTTTCCCTGTGGGCGGCAACGAGTAAAGCGCTTAGTTATTAATCCATTTCATCTAGGCTAGATTTGGCAACTAATAAGGTTTTTTTTTCTCAAATTAATTCCATTAATAAGCACTGCATAAATTTTAGCCATATTATTGACAGATGACATCATTGAGTTTATATATTAGCCATTTAAGGGTTCACTATTATAAGGAAATCATGTGATTTATGGCGCTCCGTTATAGATGTGTATTTAAAACCAAACTCAGAACTTATTTATTTATTATTTTATTTATTCACGATAGTAGAAATAATTTTCTGAGGGCATAAAAGAAGAAATACACGCACGCACACACGTATCAATGAAAAAAACATCATTTGGGTATTAAAATGATGATTATTGGCTCATTTTAGTTCAAATATTGTTGATTTTTTGTAAAATTTAATTATTTTACTTTATTTTTTGATTCAGATTCATAGATTATAATGTGGAGGAAGAAGATGATGATCATGGTGAGGAAAAGACACTTGGACAAAGTAATTATAGAAAAAATTCTTGTGATAGAAACGTGAATGGTCAAAAAATAGTTACAAGAAAAGGATATTTTGACAATTATACTCCTGGATATTTTGGTAATAATTTTTTGAATTATGATACAAAAGAGCATAATATAAATTGGAATGATGATGATGATATTGATGATGATATTGATGATGATATTGATGATGATGGTGATGATGATGATGATGATGATGATGATGATGATGACGACGACGACGACGATGATACTTCTAATGATCCTAATGATTCTGGAGATGAAACAATGTTTTCTTTAAATGTTTTTGAAGGTGACATTGATCCTTCAATTAAACTATCTGCTGAAATGCAAAAAGAAAGGAAAAATTGGCAAAGTTTTTTATCATCAGTGTTAACTGGTGAAGTTATAATGACTGAGAAACAAAGGATCTCTAGCTCTAATATTCATCAAACTGCAAATAACTTTTATCAAATTTGGTTAGAAATTCGGGCTACCACTCATAATCATTCACTCTCTGAAGAAAAACAAATTTTGAATGAAAAAAAACATCAAGTTGATGTCGTACTTAAAGAAATAATTAATTTTCAAGTTCGGCCTGGTAATGTTCCAGCTCTTGATCAAGTTGCAGTATTACTTCAAAAAGTTGACGCCTGTGAAAGTCTTTATCCATCAAGGAAGGTAATGATGTCTGAAAAACCCCTATATAAATCAGATAGATTTCAACATAGCATAGATGCATTGAATTCATGGTTAACAATAACTAGGAGCTTACAGGATCAATTAAAAATTCTGCAAAATTGGACCGGTAGCGAAAATTTAGAGATTACAAGACCAAAAGATTCTCCAGCAGATGCAGAAAATCCTTCTTTCTTGGAACGAATATTGAAAGAAAATAGTTTAAAACAAACATTTGAAAAAAAAATACTTTCCACATTGAATTCACTTTTATCAAAAGCTAAGTGTATAATGATTGAAAATGCTGATAAATTTGCTAAAATGAAATTACCTTCATATATCAATAAGTTACAACAACTTTCGCATTTTCCTACAAAATTTATGGAAGAATGTATGAAATTATTACTTGAAATCTCTGGCCACTTAACAGATCCAACATTGCTCATGATTCAACAGAGAATGGATGACTTTCGTATTTCTCTTATTTTGGCTTGTCAAATTAAACATCAATATTTAGAATTAATAAAACCTGAACCTGGTTGGGAAATCCCACAACTCATTGATGAAAATTATAATACCGTATTGTTGCAATCTTTGAAATTTTATTTAAGATTGTTGCAATGGAAATTTAAAGGTGGTTGTAAAACTGTATTTTTTAAAGAAGTTGAAATATTAGAAAATGAATGGTTATTTTTAAGTGATATTTCACGTGATATTGCCGGTGGTGATATTGTAGTTGCAGAACAATTTTGGTAATAATTTTCAAATAATTTTTTTTATAACTAAATTAACAATAATAATAATATATATATAAATATTATTTATTTATAGTATTCTTACCAATAGATTACATCAAAATGTTATAACTTATTATGAATCGAACCTTGAATTGCCAAAAGATATTGATACGGCAAACCTTACTAAATGGTATAATAAAATTTTGGATAGTATACGTTTAAGATGCCGCAAAATAATCCGATTTGCAAAGTATGTATTATTTATTGTTAACTAAACAAATTATCTCTTTAATATATGAATATTAATTACAACTTTACTAGTAGGTTTTTGTTTGGAGAACTTGAAAATGCAGCGGAATATTTTATCGATGATGATAATTTTCCAAGCTTTATAAAAAGTTTAGAAAATACAAATCATGTTCTTATTTATCCAGATACTTTCACGGAAGATAACATATGTTTTATTGTTGAGCAATCTCTTAATGATCGACCAGAACAAATTAAAAAGTTACTTGAATCTATACTCACACCGTATGATAAGCTTAATTATGAAGAAGAGTTGAAGGATACTGAATATATACTTATTTTGTCACCAAGAGTCTCTTTTGAATGGAATGGCCCAATAATGACAACCTCTTTTGGACAATTAAATATTGAGCTTAGAAATCATCGTACAAGACTTGTTGCTAATGGTTCTTATCCTCGATTGCAAGCATGTAAACAAAGGTTTCATAGTGCAGTTGAAAACTGTGATATCAAAATAATAACAGAGACATGTGTTAACGTTCCAAACGTGAATTATGAGGTTGCAAAAGCCAAAAAAACTATAATAAAATTAGTTAAGATGATTATTGATAGTGTCAAGAAAATCCGTGAAATGACAAAGAATCTTCAATCTCAAGATCTAATTGAAAATTTTTTCAGTTTTGCAACTGAAATAGGTCAGCGATGTATTAGATATATGCATAAAGATGCTGCACTAAACCAACTAAATATAAAGCTAACACATATGGCTATTGACTGGGTTAGCTTCATATGTGATGATTGTATTCCCAACGATCGTAAAACTTTTCGATGGGCTGTCATAGCTCTAGAATTTGCTATGGTAGCAAATCATGGAAGCAATATTTTTGGTTTAAGTGAGGAGGCATTTTCTTTACTTCATAACAAAGTAGCTAAATGTATGATTTTATTAATTTCACATGTGGACATTTTGGGGGCGAAATCATCTCATGAAACAATAGAACAAGAAAAAGAAGAAGGGTACGAAGAATATTCAAAACCACACAGTGCGATAAAATACAAAAGACCCAATAATATGTTTTTAAATAGTATTGAAGATTCATTGAATATTCGAAAAGAATGGATTGCTTCTTTGAATGAATTAGAAACAAGAAGATCACAAAAGTTACAAGATCAAAGACTCATTGGAAAAGTTCTCGAGGATCAACCTGAAAACCGACCACTTGTATTTTTAGCCTCCTCAAGTTCCAACATTTCACTACGTTGGCAACAAGGCAAATTCATAGGCGGTGGTACCTTTGGTTCAGTTTATTTGGCTGTTAATTTGGATACTAGTGACCTAATGGCAGTTAAAGAAATACGTTTTCAAGATCTCTCATATTTTTCATCTTTATACAAGTCAGTTAAAGAAGAAATGTCTGTTTTGGAAATGCTTGATCATCCAAACATTGTTTCGTATTATGGTATTGAAGTGCATCGAGATAAAGTATATATATTTATGGAGTATTGTCAAGGGGGATCACTGGCATCTCAATTAGAACATGGTCGTATCGAAGATGAAAATGTAATTAGATTTTATGTAGTGCAAATGTTGCGAGGTCTAATATACCTACATGAAAATAATATTATACACAGAGACATTAAACCTGATAGTAAGTCATCATTTTATATAAAATTTCTTAATGTCATATTATGGTTTATTAATTGTTTTATAAAAATTTTTTTTAAAAAAAAGATATACTGTTAGATCATATGGAATGTATAAAATTTGTAGATTTTGGAGCAGCCAAAATCCTAGCAAAAAATCAAAGGACAATGGGTAAAAAAACTACGGCTCAAAAAACAAACATTAACAGTTTAACTGGTACACCAATGTATATGGTTTGTAATTAGTTTATATATGTATTTGTTTATCATCTGTTCATATAGATTTATTTAAATTATATATAACCTTATTTTTCTAGGCACCAGAAATTATAACAGGCGGCGAAAAGGGACGAAAAGGTTCTATGGACATATGGTCTTTAGGTTGTTGTATATTAGAGATGGCTACTGGTAGACGTCCATGGTCTAATTTAGATAATGAGTGGGCTATTATGTATCATGTGGTGACCGGAAACCCACCATTGCCAGATCCTTCACAAATATCAGAATTTGGAATGGATTTTCTAAAGAAATGTTTTATAAGATCACCACAACAACGCCCTACGGCTAAAGAATTAATTAAACATCCTTGGATAGCTGATATGGAAACTAGTGATGTAAATATGTCCAATGGTTCACAAATTGTTAATAATTGCAACAGCCATAACCATCAACGTCGTCGCCGCGCTAATAACAACAATTTTACTACATCAAATTCAACTGCGTTAAAACATCATCATGCACTATAATATTTAAAAGATGATTCTTGAGCCTGATCTTTATCACAAACATAGCTTTGTCAATATTATTTACTTTTAATAGTTGCATGTATCCAATTGATCAAAGCTCTGAGCCATTCTCTTGATATTGATTATGAAATCATGAAAGTGGTGTCTTCAAAGATAAGTAACTTGAGAATCATTTTTTACAATAATAATTAATATAGCTATAATTAATAAAAACAAATAATCGTTATATACGTGTGTGGGTAATTTTGAAGTGTATATGATAATAATGTCTAATCCCAAGGTTATTGCTTTTATATATAAATAATAATAAATAGGGATGTTAAATTGGTTGAAAACCATGTTAATCCGGGTTTGTAATCAGATTAATATACAACCGCAAAAAATTAACTATTCCTAAACAATGATAATAAAAAATTAAAAACTATATTAATTATAATATACTTGCTTCATAATCTATCCAGCTTTTTAAGCATAAAGCAGCACGAGCTGCATTAGGATGAAGGCTACACTTGTGGGCGAAACTTTTGTCAACTTAGAAAAACGACAAACTAATGCTAATGTCGAAAGTCATGTGTGGTTCCACAAAAAAATAGTTTGTTTATTATTATAAAAAATAGGAATTACCTATATAATAAAAATCAGCAATTTCGGATGTGAATTATTATTAGTAACTAGAATTTTTGATGTTGAATTTTCTACCTGTTTTCTAATAATAAAATATGGCCGCATAACAATTCTTTCTGATCGTACACCGCCAGATCTTACAAGAATATATCATAATTAATATATCATAAAAAAGTGGAACAAGATAATAATCTTTAAATCTAATTAATTATATATTTTGGTTGATAAAAAAACAAACTTAGCTTTTTTGTTGTTATT